GGGCAGCACCTGCCCCTGCCCCACTCCCTCTATCCATGTGGGGGCCTCAATCTGCCCCCTCCCCATGCCCTTACCTCCCACAGACTTACTGGCTGGACACTGCTCTCCTAGATGGCAGGCTGCATTCCTGGTCGCGTGCATGCTGTGGCTGTGAGCATGCATGCAGCATTTATTGGTGACATTATCGGCTCCGCCGGTCAAAAAAAGACAATTGCTGATAATGTCAATTTTCCTTTTATCGGTGCCAATCCAATATGGACCAATATATCAGTGCACCTCTAACAAAGATACGTGTATGATGCATATAAATCATGGCACTGTCCATTTTAGTCAAATGCACTTTCCACTAGATTTAGAATAGTGTGTTGTACCTTTTGGGGGAACTAGGGTGTTTTGATCTCTTTTCTGGAGATATTGCAAGAAGTAGAACCATACTGCAACTAAAATGGGACTGATTAAAGAGAAATATATTGTTTGTCCACAAATGATTCAACACTGGGCATGCCTACATGTTCATCAATGTGCCATAATTATGGTGATTTAAATTAGTACAGTAAAAGGTTTGTTATCTGGCATGAGTGGGGTAAGGGGGATACCAGTTATATAAAAATTCTGTTTACTTGAGGGCAGGGATTTTTGGGCCGGACACATGGCAGGGTGCGGGGCAGCACACAGAGTAGTGGCAATGCAGAGTGGTAGGTGGCGGCAGCGAGCTTTCCACACCGCATGCCAGCTTTCCCCCCAGCTCCCCACTGGTCAGCCAGCCAGAAGGAAATTCTGATTAATAGAGTGTTCCGGTTACTTAAATACTGGTTAACACAGCTTTTATTGCATCTGAAATAACACGTACTAACTTAATGTGCTGTAATCAGTGCTATTGTGCATTAGTGCACATGAACACTGTGTGATGCTTAATGCCTACTGGTCTAATTTACTGCGTATTAGCACGGCTTTTGCCAGCCATGCTAATGCGCAGTAGAATTAGTCCAATGAGCATTAAGCATCTCATGTAGACGCACCTACAGAACATACATCTTTCCTTTAGTTCAATGGTGACCTAGCATCTTATTAAAAACTGTAAAACAACTAGCAGAACAAAACCAGCCTCTAGAAGTAGAGCTTTCAGTTCTACTGAACTAGAAAACTCATATTAATATATTGTTCACATCTAAATACTGTACTTTTGAGAGTTTTATATTATAAAACCTTATTTCTAAACCCAGTTATCTTTAAGAATTGTACATGATATTGAATTAAAACAGTATTTACCTCTTCATTCTTTTTCTGTACCCATTCCTTGTGTTTCTCTTCTGCAATCTTTTTTCTTCTTTCAAGTTCCTGCTTTTCTTTTCTTTTCTCCAGTTGTTGATTAATTTCCTAATTAAAGCAAAACGTATACAACTCACTTTGGTTGCTATATGAAAATGAGTCACTTGAAATGCATACAGTTCAGGCTTAAAAGCAGAAGTTCTTCACAGTACGACTGCCCTGAGTAGATTAGATAGGGCAGTGCTTAAAAATGCAATGATAGCACGTCTATACTAACACTCTTAATGATGTTAATATTAGTGGAGTTGAATCAGCACACATAATAGTAGAAAGCTTTTAAAAATTCTCAAGTTAAGAAATAACCAGAAGTCACAGAGCAGGGACCATGACCAAGGTGGGAAAAATTCATAAGGTACATTTCTATTTCTATGGACAAGAAATGTTTCCATTTATTTAATGGGTCTCTAGAAGTCAAAAAACAAAATGGACTTTGATCAAGTTTCCATTAAGAATTCTAACTTCTAATCCAAAAAGCCTAGAACGAACATTGGCAGACAAGGTTCCTTGGGTGAATTTGATATCTTTTATTTTATTAGACCAACCCAAAAATCTAATACAAGATATCAAATTCACCCAAGGAACTTTGTCTGCCTATGTCCTTAGACCAACATGGCTAGAATCTACACCCCTGCAACATGGAAGATATAGAATGAACATTCACATTTTAAGATGAGTTTTATCCTAAATAAATAAATGCAATTTGCATACTATAGCCTCAAAATTGATTTCAAGGTCTTGATCCTGCATTCAACTTAAATAAGAATTTCCATTTCTAATGACTCTTCTTGGATCTGAAGTGAAAGAAAAATTAAAAGTGCCCCTAACTCTTCCGCAAGAGCCCAAAAGAGAAAAATCAAGAAAAAAATAGATTGTTTGAAAATATAATTAATTTCGTATTCTAACAAGATTAAGGCAAGAACCATCTATTGAAGGTCCTGATGAACCTACACTGTAGGGATCCTGTCTTCTCTGCCAGAATGACTGATACCCTAACATATTGTAAAATAGCCTTAATGAAAGAAAAATCCATTCCAATCTACATTGCCTCTGTACAGGATACTTATAAAGACAACAGAAATCTGTAGCTTTAATGTCCCGAGAAAAATTATTTAAAATATTTTTAAAACAGAATCCTAATACTGTTTTTTTATATCCAAGTTATTTCGGGGGTCTGAAAAACAAGTATATAAGCTTTTATCAAAATCACTGCAAATGGTAGGAATGGTTTCAGAATTACAACTTCAATAGATTAAAAATCTTTTAACTCTTCTATTGATTTCTCCCTTGTTATAAGCCTATTTTTATCCTGTGACTATTCTTAAAAATGTGTATGTAAAAAAGGAAAAAACTTGAAGTTATGTTTGTTATTATAGAACATTTCCTCACTTGACATGTATAGAGAAAACTACTATTTTGGTTCTGATCCAGTCTTAGTAAGTACTATTACATATACCACATATTGCACCAAAAATTAGCTTTCCTCAATTAGGAAACAAATGAAAAAGGAAAGTTCAAAAGAACAAGTGAAATGCTAGAAAAGTCAGTATATGTTTTGGGGATTTAGCAAATAATTTCAGCTCCCCAATAACCTTTAACACAATATAAAATATTTTACAATTCTGTAGAATTGCAAATACGCTACAAACTACTGGTAAGCCACACAACTTCTGAGATATATGCTGTACTTATATTGCAAATGGAATCAGTAGATAGAGTCAAATTTGAAGATTGTTCAAGGGTACACAAGGAGAGGCAATGGTAGAGATAAGAAATGAACCCAGTGATCCAATCGGCAGTCTGGTATTTTAACCACTAACCTATACTTTCCCAACCTGCAATGCAATGCAATGCAATAATTAGGGAAAGAACAAGACAATTAACAAACTTCATTCTATTCAGTGTCAGTATTCAAGGATAGGTTATTTTTAAGAAGACAGCAGATAGATGAAGGGAAAGAAATTCTGGATGGAGAGCACTTATTCTGAGAGAAGGTACCAAACTTTTATAAGAGAACACTTAAGCAGTTGACAAACAACCCCTCATGCCTAACCATGTTCCTCAGCATGTCTATATACACGCTCTGTCGTGTTTTATTGCTAAAATGCAGGCGTAGATAACCATAATGAAAATCAAAGTACCAATTATACAAATATGTTTTAATCCCTTAAATCTGAACCATTACCAGATACTTGGGTAAGCAAAGTATATGTACCACATTTTCAATGAGGAATAACTTTTAGAGAAAGAAAAATGAACAAAGCATGAATCACACTGGTGTAGCCAAACACAAAAGCTATGCGTGTCTAAATACATTAAAGATAAAGAACAAAGCTACCTATTTTTCATTATGGAGACGGAAAACTAGTCTTTTGGTGCCTGTTTGTCTGCTGCCAAATCTAAGGGAAAATAATCAGATATACTCACCTCCATAGCTCTGGCTTGTAAGTGGGCACGTAGCTCTCTCTCTTTGCAAATGAACCATTCTTCCCACGGTGAGAGATTTTCTGTCACAGGTGACTGCTTTTTCTTTTCTGCTATTTTAAAGCCTTCAACACTAATGGATTAAAAATAAAGATGTATATTGTGATGATACTACTGTACTTTTTAACAATTTTAATTTCAAAGTTAATTCCAGCAATTGACACAGTGACTCTTACACTGCAACTCTGATAAATTTAATAAATTTGTTCCAAAAGTTATTTGGCACTTGCAGATGTCTTGCTTGTACTCTGTTAAGCAATTTATTTTGGAACCACCTCTAATGCTGTGTTCTGAACGGCTGCCATTCATAAACAAGACAGAAACAAGCAAATATTCCTATACGAGTGGTTCCATCCTTTTCCTTGCATGTAGAGGATGGAAAAGCAAGGGTTGGAAAGTATATCTGCTAAAAATGTTGGCTTATAAAAACTAAGTAATATAATATGCTATTTCTGACTAGGGACAAGACCAAAACCTTGTAACCCTTCAACCCTAACTAACAGGGGTGCACCAATAGAGATTTTGGGGGTCGATACTGATATCCAATTTTAAGAAGGCATATCGGCCGATACCGATTTCCAATACAGCGTGGAGAGCTTCCTCCAGCTGGTAAGACCGTTGTGGTGGAAGGAGGGAAAGGGGAAGGGGCGGGGGGGAGGCAGATTATCCCCCCACCCCCTGTGGTGAGAAAGGGGATAGGGGCAGGGGCAGGCCAGCTGGGGCGGGGTGTGGGACAGAACCGTGGCTCGTCCGGGGGAGGGGAGGCTGCTCCCGCAGTTGCGTGCACCCCGGAGGGGTAGGGCATCTGCCCTCCAGATCTGTGCGGAGTGGGGTAGGTAGGCTGCAGCTGCAGGCTAGAGCCAGGGCTCAGATTTTGCACCAGCACTGCCACGGCCACGGCCACAAGCCCAGCACAGCCCTGGCTCTTCCTGGCACATGGAGGGAGGCAGGGGTTGAGCCAGAAAGAGCCGGGGCTGCACCGGGCACATGGCAGCGGTAAAAGGGAGCTACAGTGAAATTTGGGGTGGCTGCACCCCCTCTGTAGCCCCCGCCCCACCCCAACAAGAAGAGCCCAGCGCAGCCCCAGCTCCAGGCCATAGCTGCACCACCCCAGCTGGCCTGCCCCTGCCCCCTTCCTCACCCCTGCCCCCCATACCCTCTTCCCTCCCCACTCCCCTTCCACCACAATGGACTTACCAGCTGGAAGCAGCTCTCCACACTGCCGAGCTGTGCTCCTTGCTACCTGCATGCACACACAGGAATTTAATCAGCCAAATTATCAGCCCCATTGGGACGATTTCTGATACAACCAATTTTCTTTATATCGGTACTGATCCGATATCGGACCAATGTGTTGGGGCATCTCTGCTAATTAGTGGTCAATAATTGCACACTGATGCGGTCTTGAGCAGCAAGTTGGAGTAGATGACTTAAATATTGTATAGCGGATCCATAGCATCAAGGTACTTGAACTTTAAGAACAAATGCAAGTAGTCCTTATATAATTTTAAAAATCCTTTCTAAACCTTGTACAGAAAAAAAACTTGTTGAGAAATGGATATTTCAAAGAACACTGGATGGAATAGTATAAAGGTTCTGTTAGCACTCTAATGGTATCTTGCATAATTCAACCACAGCTTGCCCATACATAAGTAAGCATCCTAACCTTGTATCAATAAAGTATTTTCATTACTACATACAAATATTCTCTCATACATGAAAGTATGCTTAATAAATGCAGATAAACTTTTATAAGCTACCAATATGTGAGCTTTCTATGCATTTTCTTGCTTATAGAAGCTTCTGTTATTTAAAGGTGAAAATACAAGAATACAAATTTCTTTTCTCTTTCACCCAACAATTTGTGCTGAATGTAAGTGGTTCCTTACCTTCATTTCTCTGAGTTGGTACACTGTCTTATTAAAGATGTTTCTGGAGCACCCAGAAATTAATGGTACAGTATTAGTGCACCTATGCATCAGACCATATCATATCAGCACCAATAAAAGAAAAATTGACATTATCGGAAATCGGCCTTTTTTGGTTTTTGTGGCCAATAAAATCACCGATAAATGCCGTGAGCCACAGCATGCACAGGGCCAGGAGTGCTGCCTGACAACATGGAGAGCAGCGTCAGGCTGGTAAGTCTATTGTGGAGGAGGGGAAGAAAGTAGTGTAGAGGGGCAGACCAAGGCTTCCACAGTGAGGGAAGGAGTGGGGCTGGCACTGCCCAGGCAGGGCGGGGCAGGGCATGGGACAGAGCCGTGAGCAGCTCGTCCAGGGAATGTGGGGAGGGAGGGTGGCTCCTGTCACTGCATTCACCCTAAGAAAGCATGGGGGGGCATGTGCGCCCCAGATCTGCGTGCAGGGCAAGGGTGGGCTGCTGCTACAGGTTGGGGCCAGGGATAGTGCCGGGCTCTTCCTGCCAGGGTTTGGACCAGGGCTGTACTCAGGGAAGACAGCGGTGGTGCTTGGAGAGGGGCTACAGGGTGGGCTGCAACCACCCCAAAATTCGTGGTAGACCCCACCCCCGCTCCCAGCAGCACTGCCATCTATCCTGAGCGCAGCTTGGCCCAAACCCCATGCTGGGAAGAGCCTGGCACCACCTCTGGCCCTAACGACAGCCTACCCTCACCCTGAACACAGATCTGGGGGGGAACATACCCCTCCGTGCCTTCTCAGGGTACGCACAGCAGTGGGAGCCGCCTCCACACCGGACAAAGCGTGGCCGTGTCCCGCACCCCACCCATGCAACGCCTGCCCCAGCCCCAGAACCAGCCCCACTCCCTCCCTCACCACGGAGGCCTCACTCTGCCCCCCACGCCCCTTCCCTCCCCCTCGCCCCTTCCACCATAACAGACTTACCAGCCAGATGCTGCTCTCCATGCTGCCAGGCCACATACCAGCAATCGGATCGGTATCAACCAATATGGCTCATTAAAAATCGGCCATTAGTATCAGCCCAAAAAATCTCTATCAGTGCACCCCTATGGTACAGTAAACTCTGGTTAATACACCATAGGATTATTTGCCACCGTGGCCTAATTTGTTGTTTGTCCTGTGCCCCCTCCCCCTCTCTCCACCTGATGTTAACACCTGATAACTGGTCACTACTGGAAAAATTTGCCATTATTAACATATCCTGTGGAATAATAAATTAACTAGAGTTTACTGTACAATATTGCCAAGATAAACTGAATCTTTATTTAAAGAATGTTCATTTTTAATATGTGAAAAGTGTTGAAGATTCAAAAGCAATGGCACTATTTGGACTTCAAATGTAGTCTTATTTATTTTCATTAGTGACAACTGCAAGTTAGAAACATGAAATTACCGTATTTACTCAAATCTAAGATGAAGTTTCCTCCCATGCAGCATGGATGGGAACCTCTCATTTTAGATTCGAGTATGAACCATACATGGTATAGGGGGGCACAAGGGGAAAGGGTACACAGTGCTGGGGCGACCAAAGGGAAGGGGTGCACAGTACTAGGGAGAGAATGGGGAAGGGGCGTGCAGTCTGGGTGGCAGCACAGGGGAAAGGACAGCAGGGGAGTGCAGGGCAAGGGATGCATGGAGCATAAGAAAAGGCCCCGGGGGAAGGTGGGGAAGCATGGAAGGGGCACAGGGAATGAGGTGTGCAGCACAGGTGGAAATGAGAGGGATAGGATGCATGCTGCTGGGGGGGGAACATGGGAAAGGTGTGTCCAGTGCAAGAGGGGAGCACAAGGGAAAAGGGTAGCAGGGGGAGGCACCGAGGGGAATGGGCAGCAGGGGACGCAAGCAACAAGGATGGGGCAAAAGGGCTGTGAGGCAGGCTGCCTGTCCCCCAGCTCCTGCTTTCCCTGCTACTACCTCTCTGGGGCAGTGGTGGGGTGTTTTGATAACACAGGGGTGCGCACTTACTTTGTCTGGAGGAAGGCTTAATGAGACTTGGTGAGATGTCGAAGGCTACAAGAGTAGCTCCACCCCTTGACAGGTAGCCCCCCCCCCGCAGGGTGCCACCTTGGGACCCAAAGTCCCGCCCCAACCCCTGACCTTTGTCTCTGGTAGCCCCTCACGTTGCCCCCAGAAATACTGTTTTTGGCAAGGTTTTGCCATCTTGGAACTGGAAAAATACCAAATCATATATTATAAACAATGTTTGATTTTTGGTATATTTTGTTCTAAAAATATTTTTGTCCTTTTTTACGTGCGTTTGCATAGTGTATATAGAGCTAATCACAAAATAGCTCAAAATAAAGTCTTATGCTTGTATGTGTGTGTGGGGTGTGCTTGGGGGGGCTGGATGTGTGGTGGGGGGGTATGTGGGATTTGTGGAGGGGTGTGGGTGGGTACGGTGTTTGAGGGAAGATGTATGGGCATGGTGAGGTGTGCGTGGGACATAGACACACATGCACGTGTGCCCTAGCAGTGACAGCCCTCCCACACACTGGGCAGGGCAAACAG